TGCCTGAGTCCACGAGAGGAAGGAGGAGGAATAAGAAGCATGCTCAGAGAGCAGGCCTGACTGAGAAGGATGTTTATCCACCAAAGGAGCTAAGGGCTTTCATAACAGGTAGATAGAGTCAGTCCTTGGGAGAAAAGGATTGTAGTGCGAGCTGAGGAAAGCAACCAAAACAGAGTATCCAATACAGAGGACAAGGCAAGTACGGAAATGGTGGAACAAAGAGCAAAAACAGATTCCAGAGCACAGGTAGCCAGGGTAAGAAACAGGCCAAGGAAATGGTTCAGAACTAAAGCAAGGGCTGGCGTGCTGTGAGTGAGCCCTTCGTTAGATGTTTGCTGCTTGCGTTGGGAAGGCATGGAGGTTTAAAGGAGTTGCTCAAGAGTCAAGACAATGAGTTAGCATTAAATATCACACATAAAAATGTAAACATGTAAGATACAGGTGCTAGACTACACATTTCTGCTTATTAACAAGTCACAAAAAAAGAATGCTCTTGAAAAAATGAAATTATTAAATATATATAACATAAAATAAAAACAAAACAAACGAAAACAAGGTCACCAGGATGGGAAAATGGTACCTGCAGCAGCATTTCTCAAAGTGTGGTCTGTGGACTCCTGATCCCAAGAGCTGTCACAGTTCTAGATGCTTTCCTGTGGGCAGTGCTGCATACTCTATCCTCTCGGGAGAGGCACGGTGTGCTAAAGGCTCTCGAAGTCCTGCAAGGAAAAGTCCTGGTTGACCTCGTTTACCCCACTGTTTTCCATACTTGATAGTTAACATGGAACTCTCTTTTTCAAAAAATACTTTGTAAATGCTTACTTAGTAAAAAGCCAAACAAATGGGTTGCTTTGATAAATTTCTTACTTGTATAAAATCTCCTACATCTTGAGTTAAAATAACATCACTTGTTGAGAACCCTGCATTCATTTTTAGAAGATAAAATTAGATGTACCACCAGAATAAACTCACACCATATACTATGACTCAAAATACAGAGGCAATAAAAGAAAAATATTGACTACAGAAAAATTAAAAAAAAAACTTTTGCATGGCAAAATCATCACAAGTGAACACAAATGACAAAGTGAAAAAACCTGATAAAAAAAGGGCAAAAGACATGAACAAAAAAATATAGAGATATAGATACAAAATACACATGTGCATATACGTATGTGTTACATAAATGGCCTTAAGTGTATGAAAGGACAGTCAAGTCCGCTCATCATGCTCATAATGAGAACAAATGCAAATCACAACTGCTTTAAGATACCAGTTCTCAAGTGTCAGATGAGAAAGCATTAAAAACTTAACAACATATTCTTTTGACATGACTGTAGAGAAACCAGCACTCTCATACATTACTGGTGGGAATGCACTTGGGTACAACCTTGTGGAAGGAATTTGTCAATATCTGATGAAACCAAGTATGTATTTATCTTTTGTTCTAGAAATCCCACTTCTAGGAATTTATCTTGAAGATATATCTCCAAATATACAAAAATAGATATTCTCAAGGTTATTCATTGCAACATTAATTGCAATAATTGCAAAATATTGAAAACAGGCCCAAATACAGGAGAGCAGGGAAATAAATGACAATGCATCCATGTAGTGGAGTACTGTGCAGCTGTGAAAAATAGTGAGGAAGCTCTCTGTGAACTAGTATGAGTGATTTCCAGGATATGTTTTAAGTTGAAAAAAGTAATTATAGTATGCTACCTTTTGCATTAGAAAGAAGAGGAATAAAAAAATAGACATGTATCTGCTAATTTTTTCACAAGAAACAGAAAGGAGATACCAGAACTAATGAAATTGATTACCTATAGTGGGGTAGGTGGAGATGGCATGAAAGTGATAAGAGGGTGGGAACAAAGTAGAAGGGATGGGGAAAACGTAACTCTTAGCTGATTGTGCCTTTCTGTGTAGTTTTGACTTTTGAACTATTGTTTTATTCAACAACTACAAAAGTAATAAAAATCAACAAAAATGGAGGGAAAAACCCTAAAATGTAATACAAACAGAAGCAGATGCCTCTAATTATATTTCAAATGAATGATATAATCACACTGAAGGGAAGGGGGAGGAACTAACCCAAGTAAATTTTGAACATAGCATTTTCACTAAAGAATAAAAAGAACCATAGAGAGTAGGTTTGGGGTTTTCTACTGATTGTTTTGTTTTGTTTGCTTAGCAATTCTGAAACTACTTTTGGTGTGTTCTGTAGTTCAGAAAATAAGTAAATAGTTGAGAATAATGGGAGCCAGGTTCCTCACTGTCGGAAGGGAATTACAAATGTGTAAAGAGGAAAGATGAGAATGAATCTGTGGTATTGTATTAGTATTGGAGAAATCAATATGAGCCCATGGTCATAGATCAGGGATCATCAAACTTTTTCTGTAAAGGGCCAGATAACAAATACTTAACTCTGTCATTGTAGCACAAAAGCAGCCATAAGGTAAACATGGCTGTATTCCAATAAAACTTTATTTATGGATGCTGAAATTTGAATTTTATATAATTATCATGCATCATGAAACACTATTATTATTTTAATTTTTTTCAACCATTTAAAAATGTAAAAACCATTCTTGTTTTGCAGGCTGTACAAAAACAGGCAGTGGGCCAGACTTTGCCCATAGGCCTTGGTTTGCCAACCTCTCTTTAGATAGAGGAATGATGATTGATAGAGAGAGAGAGAGAGATAGCAAGCAAATGTGATAAAATGTTTAAATTGGGGAATCTGGGTGAAGGATATATAGGAATTCTTTGTACTCTTTCTGCAACTTTTCTATAAATCTGAAATTATTTTAAAACAAACAAAAAAATCACAGAAGAACCACCCTGTACTTTCTGTAACTACTGCTGAAAAGGAAAAACAATCAAATCATTGGCCTAAAAAGTGAATATCTTGCCTTTTAAAACAGTCACACAACAACCCCCACCTACATTTTTCCCCATGTCCATGGACCATGAGTAGGAGCTACTGTTGCCGTTATGTAGAGTTTCTAATTTGTCACTGAGGGTGTCATCATATGATAACATTATTTTTCTCCTGTTCATCTTTGTTCTCCATCGCTCTTACTGAGTAATGAGGTCACCGGGCTGGTAATTTGTATGTGACCTTGTAATTTTCTATGATGTAGGAATTTTTTGGTCTACTATAATTAAATGGACTAAATAAAAGGTGCTTATCAGAAAATGCCCCATTAGCTTGGAAGTCTGTGACAAATCCTTTCTGATGTCCTTAATGTGTTATTATGAAATTCAATTACACAGCACGCTCACCTTGCTTATTTCACTAGCCGTAATCTAGTAATAGCTAAGGTGAGCAGTGACTGAAAGTATCTTAAAATATTACAAATAGGAATTGGGTAATTTTTACATTAAGATACTTTTTATAAAGGAAGAGTTACTGGTTTAATTTCGACTGAATCCAATTCCTACCTTGGTTTATCATTGTAGGTAAAGCCACACTGTGATCTTCATTGAAAATGAAGATGGTGGTCATAGCTGAAATTTATTGAATGCAACTCTGTACCCAATACCATGCCAAATGTTTTTCATCTATTTTTTTTTCATTTAATCCTAACAAAAAAACTCTGAGGTACTATCATTATCTCCTTTTTATAGATGAGGCTTCCAATGTTAAGTGACTTGGCCAAGTTCTTACATTTGGAAACCTGGAGCTGGGATTTGCCTGGAGAGTGAGTGCTCTTAGTTACTGGTTGAGGCCGACTCCCACTGTAGATAAAGAGGATAGGAAATACAAAAATTTAGAAAGAGATTGTTTAGACATCAGGACATGCTCCTGTTGAGAAGAATGGGTAAACAATACAGGCTGCTAGTATCAATGTAAGAAATAGAATCACATTGGAAAATCCTTCACATTCCCCTCCCTGCTCCCTTCCCTTGAAGAAGCTCAGTAGTAAGTGTAGAGATGAGAAGGGCTTGAGGTAGAATAGAATGACTCATACCTTCTGGATGTCACCCACTTGCATCACACCCACACAGGTATCTACTAGAGGGAGCAGGAAGATTGGAAAAAAATGGAGGAGGAAGGAAAGGAAAGAGATTGGGAAATGAGGTTGGCAGTTGGAGGCAGATCACAGGGAATGTAGGAGGTGCTTTCTAGAGTGGTTTTGCCCGCATTGGTAATGGGAGAACTGAAGTAATGAGTCACTCAAGGGCCCAGCTCTCTCACTCTCCCTTTTTGGCCCTTCGCTGCTCTACAGCCCTGAGTTAGTGCATACTGACTCCCACCATTGAGACTGGTCCATGACCTCTCCACGACTAACTTCTGTTTTGAATCACCATTTGGAATGTTGTCATCCATGACATGTGACTTTGTCAGACTTTCTTACCCAAAAGTCATAAGGAGCTTTGTCTCTGTTGCATTTCTTCTGAGTTATTGAAATAATTTTCTTATGTGAGAGGAACAGTGCTACAGTTTAATAACAACAGTAATAAACTTATTTATTTATTTATTTATTTTTTTGCTGAGGAAGAGTTGCCCTGAGCTAACATCTATTGCCAATCTTCCTCTTTTTTTTTTGGTGAGGAAGATTCTCCCAGAACTAACGTCTGTGCCAGTCTTCCTCTATTTTGTTTGTGGGTCACCGCCACAGCATGGCTGAGAAGTGGTGTAGGTCCGCACCCAGGATCCAAACCCATGAACCCAGGCCACCGAAGCAGAGTGTGCCAAACTTAACCATTACGCCGCCAGACTGGCCCCAACAGTAATAAACTTTTGAGAGGAATAGTCATTTTTATTTACTTGATGTATTTATTGGGAAACTAGTTAATTAAGTGATTGACTCTATATTAACCAATTTATTAAACTAAATATTAATTTCTGAACATCTTGTCTCTCTGAATTATGAAGAAGAGAAAATGTTTCTTTGTGGACACCCCAGGGAATTAAAAATCCAGGTGAAAGGTAAAATCTATGTATGGAATTACAGACATGTTGTTCATTTACTTCCTTCTTTTCTTTTTAGGGACTGGTTAAATATGTTGAGCCCACCAATTGTTCCTCCCAGTCAACAGCCAACAGAGCAGCATCCAGATTCTTCTGGAAGTTTGAGTGCTCAAGGTGGGAATATGAAAAATGCTGTGCATAAAAAAATAAAAGTAATTAACTATAAATAGAGAAAATCAGTCACTCTGAGATGCCACTGTTTTTATTAAATGCTGATCACTCAGGCTCACACACCCAACATGAGGTAACCTTTACCTCATTTTACAGAGTGATAGGTTCTTTGCAACTAAAAAGAATATAAAAGAGAAATTGTCCGTGTTCTTCTAAAGGTTAATCCCAGGGCGAAATACAGTTTAAGCCATAAGAGCATGGCTTTGGTGTCAAATTGACCTTCCTCTGAATTCCAGCTGTACCAGTTCCCACTGTGTGACCTTTATGAATTTTGGTTACCTCATTTGTAAAATAAGACTAATGATAGATAGTATCCACCTGAAAGTTTTTCATGACGATTCAATGAGGTATACTGTATATGAAGCACTTAGAATAGGGCCTACCAAATACTAGCTGTTTGCATTACTATAAAGCAGACCCAACAGTCCAACATCACGGGGATACATGTTTTCGTTAATACAGAGATATGGCCTCTTTGTTAAACGAAAGGCTGGCGCAGAGCTACCATAAAGAGTGTTAGTAATGGAAAAATTGGAAGGAAGCAGGAATGAAAATTTGTCTGGGGTTCCATTCGTTGGTGAGAGCCATAAAGATGAACCATTAGTTTCTGGTTGTGAGCAGGGAGCATGATTGTCAGGAGTCCATAGAGGAGGAACGGAAAAGAATCTTCATTGGAAACAGTGGGGTTGGGATGGGAGGGCTGGAGGGGAATCTAAAGTGCATAATTGGAGTGACAACCTCAGAGTAGGACTCCCTGAGACAGTTTTCTGAGTTGGATTTTGAAGATGGAAGCCCTATGGCTGAAGTTTAAAAAAAAAAAGAAGAAGAACTGAAACCAATCTAAATGGCTCCAACAAAGGTGCCAGTTTTTTCGTGTTTTTTTTTTCCTAACTGCCCCAGGGAGAAAGTGGAGCATCCCATTTTTCTTCAGGTGTGGAGAATTCAGAGTGAGAGCTCATACATCTGAATGGTACATTTTGGCCGCCCAAGGGATGGAGATGTCTCTGTGATTTACTGCCTGAAATAGATTATGCCCCTCAAATTGGGAATCTTTAGAGGTGTACATTTATAATTACTTATGACAGAAAAATAGAATCTTGGCTGTCAGGAGGAGACCTTGCTGTGAGGGAACAAATAATATGTTATGTGAAATGTCCTAAATAAGCCACAGGAACCGAGAGCGTAGTCCTTGAGCAAAGGCACTCAAGATACATGTTAGTGATAAGTGGCTGAAAGGATGTCTTCAAGTCGCCATTGCAAAGTGATGTTTTGACAGCAGGAGCTCAATTATATTGAAGGTAAACAGAACTTCCATCGGGGGCAAATTAACAAATTAAATTCAGAAGATTATAGAAATGTTCTGGCCAGTGTTAACCGGATCTGGCACCCTTCTTCCTGTCACCCTAGATTTTTATCAGCTGTCCCTTTCCCCTTTTCTGATATGCTTGGGTAGTTTGTAGCTAATTAATACCATCAAATATTAGTGTTTCCTATTTCGTTAATCTTTACATGTTACTGGCTTTTAGACAGCCATAGCACAGTCCATACTCACCAATATACAGAGATAGTGCTTCCATCTGTTCTTATAAAGTGTTTGTCAAAGAAAAATAATGGGTTCAAGTATCCAGTTTATATCATCAGAAGGAGAAGGGAGGCATGGTTGTGGGCAGTCTGGGACTCTTCCTGAGTTTCCGTTGCATAATACCATTAATTTAGCACTTACTGTATACCGGACACTGTGCTCAGTCATTACATGCAACACCATGAGGAAGGTACTATTTGTATGTGTGTGTAGTTGTTTTTTACACCTAAGGAAACTGAGGCACAAAGTTCTTGAGTAACTTGACCAGGGTCACACAACTAGTTATTGGCATAGCCGGGATATGAATCTAAGCAGCCTGGCCCCAGAGCCCAACCACTGTTTTTATACTTTTTTGGTTTTGAACCAAGTAAATAGATTACCTACTCAATAATATAGATAAAATCAGGAGCTGAAAAATCATTTTTCTATTGAGAGTTCCTGATCTATAGGAAAAACAAATTAAAATATCTCGAGGGCTAAGTAAAGTTCTTTAAGGGAAAAAAAAAAAGCAGACCTCTGGGCACCTGTTTCAGCCCTGGACCTGCCTCCCCCTCCCCCCACGCTTGTCAGAAGTGACAGGTGGCCACCCTTCCTCCCTGGGAGTGCCGGGGTGAGGAGTGCAGTTACTGTGTTGACAGGATCTGGGGCAAGGCCCAGGGAGTCAGGAGCTGAATGGAGGACAGGACCACTGGGTTGCGGAACTGCCAAGCCCAGGTATTTGCTTGCTGGCTTACCTTCTTAAAGGCCTTTCTAGCCAATCTTATCTAAGTAGGTCAGTCTCTCTCACTTCACTTTGTACATTTTCTTCACGGCCTTTTCACAGTTTATAATTCGTGATGTGTTTACTTCTCTGTTGTCTTTTGTCCTAAGTAGCCTATGAGTTTTTATGAGCAGAGACTGTCAGTTTGCTCACTCCTAGATCCCTAGCACCCTATGCAGTTTCTGGCATATATTAGCTACTCTCTGAATTCTCATTAGAAGGAAGAAAGGAAGGGAGGAAAAGAGGGAGAGAAATGTTCTTCAACTGGTCATTTCTTATAACAGCCTTGAAAAAAAAAAAGTAAGGTAATTCATTGAAATCTGACTTTCAGTTTTCCCCCCATTTCCAGTTTTTTAGTATATTAGGTATATTTCTAAAATCCAACATTGAGAGTATTGAACTTAGACACATACATTTTAGCAATTAAAAGTTATAGGTCACCTTATGCAATGGCTCTTAAACTTTATTTATAAGCGGTAGAAACTTTTCTTTCAAATGAAATCGCATATGGAATCCCAATATATAAAAGAGATAAAAGCAGAATTGCTCTGGCTCAAGGGAGAACTAGGGTTTCAGAGCCCTGTGCTGGGGCTCTGATGAACCAGTTTAAAACAGTTAGTGTAGTCTAACCCCTTCAGTTTGACCTTGCCCAAGATCAAACGCGCAGCCAGAGCTTGAGCTAGGCTTAGGGCCCAGGCTTCCTCCACATCGTGCCTTCCTGCAGAACCATTGCACTGGGATGTGAAGGTGGTTTTGAAGGCTGGTTCACAGGGAAAGGGAAGTCTCACATCTTCAGACTTACAGGATAAAAATAATAATAGCTGACATTTGTTTCATGCCTGTGACCCAGGCCTACATGTGCACTTTACCTCTCATAATAGCCTACTGAGGTGCGTGTACTATTATTACCCCCATTTTACACGTGGTCACGGGGACTTAGAGCAGTGAAGTGATGCGCTGAACCATCACGTCTCCATCAGAGATGGAGAGGCCAAGATGCATCCATGCAGCTGGATTTATAAGTGCATTTTAACAGGGAAAGAGGGCCTGACCAACACACAATTCTAGAAAACTTGCCCCAGGCCATACAAAAATAAGTGCATGCATTATACCTGGCCCTGGAGTTCCTACTTTATTCAGTACAAGTTTGTGTCACAGCCACAGTTTCTGCTCCGCCAGAATGTCTCAAGTGTATAAATGCCACCTTAAAGAGAACAGCCCAGCTTGCAGCAGAGCCGGTCAGCGGGCAGGAACAAGACTGTGCTCTGTGCCATTCGGCTGGGTGGGCAAACAGGCAGCTCTTCACAGTTCCTCCTGCACCGTAATATACTTGCCGAATATCAATTACCTGGGGCGCGGCTGCCCTTAACACTTACTAAAAATGTGTTTTCCTGGAGCTCATGTGAAATATAAAAATGGGAAGTTAAGATTTCAGAGCTTACTCAAGAAAACTACCAAACTGACCTTTTGAAAATGAACCGGACTTTCCTCGAAAAATAGTTGTCAATTTGTTTTTGACATTTGTTCCTTTATAAAGATGACCCTTAAATTATTCATGCCTACCAGCTCAAAAATGGAATACTAATGACCTCTCTCTTCAGGCTTGCAAACCTCTCTTGCAGTTTACACAGATTTTCAGTAAGAAAGGCATTCAGGAGGGCTTTTGGAGTTGCTGGAGTCTCATAAAAATAACATTCTTGTACCTTTTATATGACCAAGCCGCATAGGATATTCCTTTATGAACATTGATTAATCTCCCACGAGACATAAATAGGCAGGAGATGCTTATTTTATAGATGGAATAACCAAATTAGTAATGAAGAATTTACAGAAATCTCATGGCTCCTCACAGCTAACCTGAGAGAGGGGATCTGGCTGCCTGCTCTGGCTGTGACAGAGGAATCCTTCAGAGGCCTATTTCCTGCCATGCAGTTATTTGACACTTACCTAATACTCTGAGTCTAAAAGCAGTCTTCTAAAATCTGTTCTTTTAGTTAGCTTGCCAGACATTATACTTCATTGAACAACTATGGTACCCCCAGTGATTGACGTGGCACCTAGGACATGATAGGCACTCCATAAGTGTTTGATGAATGAATGAGTTAATCTCCTGCTGGTGGGAAACGGGAGGAAGATTTGGTCTACTCTGAATCTTCCCTTTATCTTGAAGATTTATTTAAGATGCAAAAGAGACCTCCCGAAAAAGCAATATTGGTGATTAAAAGTAATAAAAGAAGCCAGCATTAATAAAGCACCCACTGTGTGTCCGGCACTGTGTCATGTTTTCTGTGCAGTATCTAACGATGACTTGTGCCATCACCCCAGGCATGGGGCTATGTTATGTCCCCACCGTACAGGTGAGGTGAAGGTCACAGCCTGGGTCACAGACCCACTGAGTGTGGAGCAGGACACTGACCCAGGCCTGTCTGACCAGGCAGTCCGCACCCTTAACCCCCACACTGCAATAGGACCACAGAATTACCATTTCAATTGGTAAGAACTGTACAACTGAAATGTCCACTGCAGTTCTTTAAATTTAGAAAGTTCTCTTTCTTGAAGCTTTCTGGATAGAATATTACTCTCTTTAATACTCTCCTTAGA